CCCATCTTTGTTCACTAGTCTTGCTGCACATTGCTAACCGATTATCATGAAGTTCCGTCGTCATGTACCAGAAAACAAACAATTCATACTGCTCACCGATAGCATAATCGAAGCATCATTTTCTCCATAGACAGCACAAGTGTTCGCAACGCACAATGCGGACTACAAAAGACGCATGGTCAGAGACTGCAGCCAGACCACCAATCGCTTTACCTACCTTGACGCTTATCCTTTAACAAGACTAGATCACATGGTAGAAGAAAATCGTTCAGCCGTCACACCCTTTCGGTGCCCAACTGTCATGCCACCAGAAGGTAGCACGAAGGCTGGGATACTCTCAAGGGAAGTCGAGAAGTAGAAGTCGGGTTCGAACCACGAACCCTGGTCACTGAGCCATCTCCCCACATGGTAGAGCATTGCATGCTATGCATCCGCAATACCCGACCTAAAGCTGCCACCTTGACGTGGTGGTCGGGCTTGAGTGCTGCAATGATCCCGCGGGCTACACTGGCTGGAACTTCGTTCCACAAGGTACAACCATGCCAGGAAGGCCAAAGGGGAGCAGCCAGACCAAGAGCAGCGAGACCCCGTACCAGTAATCGTGCTACGAGGCGGTCTGGGGGTAAAGTCGTACTGTCCTCTGCGACAGGAGTGTGAAGGCAGTAAGGTGTTTCCCCCAGGCGACCAGCATGTCCATATTTATGGAAGCAGCAATGCTGCCTTTCCCCGAGGAAGGACGGGTTAGAAAAGGTCGGCCCCAAAAACCGCACACTCCGATCGCCCAACGGTTGACCGTGACCGCCGGCGCATTATCCAATACGGTCGAAATACTTTTAAAACCAAAGAGCCCGGTGCTGCTCAAAAGGCACCTGCTGTGCGCAGCCGCATCAGGAATGAGACAGTAATGCCTTATTCCCTGCGCCCTCGGGTTAGGCCAACCCCCTGCAGCCGAGCAGGTCAGACTGTTGAGTCGTCGGCTCCGGACAGGGTCCCCAAAGAAAACCCTAAATTCTCCCACTGCCTCGTGGGTCAGGCTTTTGAGTCAGAGGCTAGGGTCAGGGTCCCCGAACAAAACCCTACGTCATCCCACTGCCTTGTGGGTCAGACTTTTGAGTCAAAGGCTCAAGGTGGGGTACCTCAACCAAACCCCCTTCCTCGGCCTGGGCAACCGGGAAGTATCATTTGCCCGCGCAGTTCAGCGTCCACCGATGTCCCTCCCCAACCCCTTCCCACTGCACAAGCAAACATCGCTGGGCCATTTGACTGTCAGTTATCTGACCGAAAGTCCTTATGCTCCCCGCTGCCTACAAACATGAAACAAAATAACACCTTTCTAAATCCACGAGATCCTTTCTATATAGGAGCTTTTAACGTCCGTACTCTATGTCAAATTGGCAAACAGGCAATGCTTGCTGAAACACTGTACTCCCCAGTGAACAGTCGTCTCTGCGCCGTCCGATGATGATCCGCAATACACTGGACCTCCAGAACACATACCATACCATATACCAATAATCAACAATAACAGTAATCATAATGCACTTATTACGTTAGAAACCAGTGGGAACCTACAGCAGGTTCGTCGTATTCCTTTCGGAGTGATAAACGGAGTTGCGTGTTTCCAGAGAACGACAAACCATTTTGTCAAAGATGAACAAATAAAAGATACATTCACCTACATTGATAACCTCATTGTACGCAGTTGAACGAGAGCTGGACATGACCGTATTCGGATGCACTTTCTTGACTTTGATACAACATACATTACCTTGAACGACACAAAAACAGACTTCGTAACTGAAGAGATAACTGTTCCCCCGTCGAAATTGACGCGTTCGAGCATTCGGCTGTCGAAAGGCAATAAATGCCATCGTCGAAGCGCTCTGCAAACGGCACCACTATCTTCTCGGGCAATATTTCAAACTGGATTAATGTTAAGACGCTTTTACGTACGAGAACCAATAGAAGAGTAAAGAATCACAAGATCGAACGGGTGGAAAACCGACTTGGCGCAGCACAGCTGCGGAGTCATCTGCAGACCAGGAACGGGCTGCCGTGTTGCCAATGTCCTTTCTCGCGACATTTGTGACATTGTTAGAACGGAAGGACTTCTAGAACTTCGAAACATACTATGTCACCTGCGATCACAAGATTTGCACATTTTGTTCGCTCTAAAAACCTTTCTCGGTCAATGTGTGGTCCCCAAGTGTTTCACATGCGCCCAACTCAAAGCACAATTGAAACTCCTCTTGGTCAGCTTACCAAGGACACACTTCGAAGACCCAGTATTGACCTTAAAGGCCCGATTCCTTCAAACACTCGTAGCAAGTGCCTTCTAACAATCATTGACGAGCACTCCCGACTGGCTTTTGCTTACCCATGCGCCGATAAGTTCTACTCCACCGTAATTCGTTGTTTGAGTCAACTGTTTTCACTGTTTGGTACGCCCGCTTATATTCACTCAGATCCCAGTTCTGCGTTCATGTCAATTGAACTGAAAGATTTTGTTTGGTGAAGCCGTTCCTACTAGTCACAGCGCTCTCTACAATCCAGTGTAGTGGTTAAATGGAACGACTCCGTGCGACATTTTGGAAGACCATCTACCTAGTTTTAGAACCACAAAGCTTATGTGTCACATACTGGGAGGTCGTCGTCCTTGACGCTCTCCACTGTATTAAATTCCTATTATGTGCTAGTACCACATGTATGCCACATGAACCTTTCCTGTCATTCACACGCCCATCAGCCAACGGTCTTTTGGGTCCTTGGGTCGATCGTTTCAAGACGCAATGACCAAGCCTCCAAATATAACCCTCTGGTAGAAGGAATAGAGTTTGTCTCTTGCAATCCGCAGTGAGCCTATATAGTGCGCTCAGATGTCAAGCACAGAACCGTATTCCTGCGCCATCTGGCTCCGGGCGAAAACGTGACATCCGATCCTTCCAACACAGAACTGGAATCAACGCATGTCGCTGGACAGGAGGAACCTCACCCAAAACCATCAATTTACCTTGATTAATCAAACCCGAAGTCTTGCCCATTAGCGATGTCTCATCATACTCCACTGCAAACCCAGGAAATCACATGGATATTCTTATACAACAGCACACTGATCCACAATCTGCGCAAACGAAGCACGAACGACCTCAAGTTGGTACAACAGCTTTCATTTTTTGCAAACTCGATCGCTGCAAAAGTGCACACTTACCCAAGTTGGAGTGAGAGTCGTGATTATATAAACCATACTTTTCAGATATCACTTACTGTCAAGTATCACTATATTTCCAGCTGACATACCATCGTTACCAGACAAGCAAAGCGTAAATTACGTGCTTCCCTTCTGTCTTCTAATCTCGACCTGAAATCGCTCATCTCTCGCAATAATCATGAAACCTCATCGTCTATTATACACAAGCAACCTGAAGATGCAGAACGTAAACTCTGACACCGTCACAGGAACGGTTTTGCCAAAGATCCCTGCAAGCAGTGTGCAGCCTACGAGTCTTTCGGCCATGACCTGTATCGCATCGGGGTGACAGTTGCTTCGAGAGGCGTCTGCATGTGCTGCCATTGTCAAGTGCGAAGACAGCTGACATGAAGCGGATATTTGGAAAAAACGTGACGCTCGGAATGTTGAAACTATTCGTTTCTATGATTACCGCGTTCATCCTATCACGGAGAAAAGATGAAAATAGATAATCGTTCAGCTGTAACACCCTTCCGGTGCCTAACCTCCACGCCACGAGGAAGAAACCACGAGGGCTGGGATACTGCCAGGTCGATAGGCAGAGGTTGGGTTCAAACCACGGACCTTGCGGTCAGTAAATGCACGCTCTAACCACTGATCCATCTCGCCACAAACCACGGAGATAGTCTGCTTCTTATGCACTATCCCTAAAGACTGACTGAAGAAAATTCAGCAAGGTGCAAACATACTCCTCATATGAGGACCATCTGAGAAAAATGAACTTATGTAAACTGATTCACCGGAGTCTTCGAGACGCCGAACGCTCATCTTATTAAGTTACAAGAGGTCACCAAGAGGACCCCTGAGAACAGTGTTAAGCTGCTGCCCAGAGTGGCCTATCTGTGGAGTGTTCTTCAACAAGCGACCTTACCGTTCGAGGTTTCAATATGGGAACCGGTGCTCGGTGCCCTCACTGTCACGGAACGGGACAACTCAGATGGTGAAGTGCGCAACCACAAACCAGAGGGTCCGTCGTCCAAACCCAACAGTGGCCTTTCGATTGACCTCGTCTACGTTGAAGAAAACTCATAGCACCAGTCCTCGTGGTTCCTTCGAATCGCATGGCATCAATCGGCCAAAAGGGCGCCAAAGCTGCGCGATGCGTTATTTGGGCGGATAGGATTCGCAGTGAGTGCTGTTAGCTAGACACGAGTCCGAACGCTCTTGCCATGACGATAATGTCGGATTCATCATCAGCTGTGAAACCGCGTACCTGTCATACAATGGTTTGCACAAACGACAGTTTAGGCTGAAAGCCCTAGATTCTGTACTTACAACTCATATTAATTGACTGAGTTTCGACGGCGATATTTAGAGCTGCATATTTTCTCTACAGGAACAATAATCACGGCAACAGCCCGGACGCATGGATGAGACTGAAACTCTTCAAGTTGACCACAGATGCGCACGTTCACGAGCATCCCTCTGGTGAAAAGGGAAAATAACGCGGCCGAACTCCCTAGTTGCGTGATTCAGTCACTTCAGGACTTGAGCTCCCCGAAACCGTCATCAAGCTCGACGGCGTCAGTTGGCTAACCGTACAACTACTCCAATGAATACAACCCAATGTTAAGTGGTTCAGGCACAGTGCGCGGGGTCAACTCCAAAGTTCATGTTAACTGAGACGCCGCATCATCGTCACCATCATCATCATCATCATCGACAGCATAACATCAGTGTTCAACACCGATGCTTCACAGGCACGAAAATCAAGGGGTGGACAAAAACACTAAGAAAAGCAAAAAAGACCTACTTTAAGGAGATTTTCCTGCATGTAAGACTTGAAGTAATTCAACAGAGTGATCTTCTTTTCGAGAACGGGAGGATGTGTTGTCATGGTAAAGAAGCTTTCCGTTCCATCTTGATCTATATACTGTAAATTTTGCAGGTTGGCGGCTAATATCAGGCGGGTGACATCATTGAAAACAACCCCGCTTGAGTTATCACAAAGTTGATATCCCAGTCCGTATTTGTCTGAATAGTCAACCCACTTGCTGACCCAGTATATGGGGCAACAGGCCGGATCTTCACTATCTTCCATGGCTTTCACAGTATTGTCCCTCAGAATTTTGGCTTCGGTCATTAGTAAATTAAGCTAAAAACATTCGTTGAGAAAAGTAATGTACCCACTTCTTGCTTCAGTTTCTCAAGCCAGCAGTCTCCGGGCTGATTATCAATAGATGCAGTGCTTTTGACGACCGTGCCGCCGCCATGTGTAATAGGAATATCCTCTAAGGGATTAATATCAGAAAGCGGGCGGCGCCCGATCTGAGGAGTAACAATCGAATCGAACCGTGGGCACGTTGTCAAAGCGCTAACTGGAAGGGAAGTCGGTGTGTATTCTTTGAAGAAATCGTCTTCCAGCATAGTGAACATGCTTGGCCTTTTGGACGGGTCCTTATTCAGGAGTGCACGTATGAATTTCGAGGCAGACGCAGAAACACGGATCGGTATCTTATATTCGTTCATTTTTATCCGAGCGTAGGTTTCCTCGAGCTTGTTTGTTTCGAATGGTGGGTTGCCAACAAGCAAAGTGTACCTAAAACCGTGGTAAGACATGTATGCTAACCTACAATATACAACCCAAGGACCAGCAATCCACTTCGAAGCTATGTCCCCCCTTAGTAAGTACTTCAGGAGCGATGTAGTTGGGTGTGCCACATAGCGTCCTTTTTTTCTCTCCTTCGTTGACGATTCGGGAGGCCAGCCCGAAGTCACCAATCTTGATGACTAAGTCATCATTAAGGAAAAGATTGGCAAGTTTGAGATCTCGATGCATAACTTTATTCCTGTGAAGGTACTGACACCCGTTGATGATTTGCCTCATAAAATATCGGGCTTCTGGTTCAGAAAGGAAGCGTCGCCGTTTGTGCAGTTCCAAGAGTGACTGGAAATAGTCGCACATGACCAGGAGCAACATACCCGTCTATTACACAACTCCAAGACAATATAGATAAAATCGACGTCTTCAAAATAGCCATGAAACCCAACAACGTTCTCATGCTTTAGTGTCCTGTGAATACATATTTCCTGTTGCATCTTCTCTTTCTGAGAAGATTTCACAAGAGCTGATTTAGGGACAACCTTCCCTGCAAACCTTTCTTGAGTAGCTTGGTCGATCAGCTCATAGCACCTGGCGAAACCACCCTACAGAATATTTCAAAGATAATGAAAGCGCGAACCTTTCCCATAAATTTGCCACGAGTATAAGTCTTTTTGTTTTTCCCGTCAACAATAACCTCCGGTGGCTCCTTATATTTTGAACTGTCCTTCGTCGCCATCCTCGCACGCCCTGTTCCAATCAAATCGGAGGTAGCGCGCACCAGCGAGGCGACCCGATTTCACGCGAAACAACAAGTCGCATTTAGGTTACACCCACAAATAACGTAGGGGTGCATTGTTCAAAGCGTAAAGTGTGGGTCAGATGGAGGATGTTAAAAGTAGAATCTGGTAATTTGAGGCAGACAGCATGCCACATGCTACAGCGATACCGGATTGGAATGGACTGGTTTCCTTCGACATTGCGTCAGCGATGGGATTCAGCACATTTGTTCTAAACTTACCCCATTTTGTAGAAGTAAAACGCCTCCCAATGACTACCATGGGTTGATATAGGTTTACAATGTACTGTGAAGAAAGTTTAAGTATAAAGGAAAAACTCTAAATGCACGTGACTTTGGTGACACTTCTATTCCNGAAAAAACTTTAAATGCACGTGAGTTTGGTGACACTTCTATTCCTGCTGTGCACTCCGATCGAATGAAACGGGTGACTCTACTGCGAGTACAAGTTGGGTCGGGCGCCGAAATATGACACACGGAACCTTCTGGCTTAATTAATGATTAGCAAAATGGTCGAAAAATCCCCTCTCAGTCCCGCGGATCAGCCAGCTGAGGTCATCCAAAGGGCAATGACTAGTTGATGCGAAAACAATGTGGCTAGTAGTTAGACTGAACCACCTCTGGGACTTGAATGTGATATGTTTGGGCATCATAACGTACAGATGACTTAGCGTGTCCCCAATTATCAAGCAACCCTGACACTGATGCATTACACCCTGAAATCCTGAGAGCACTGGCAGTTACAATGACCAGTCAACTATGCGAACACTCCAAGTGCCCACAAGAAGGCCAATGGAACCGAAAAAGATATTCATAGGACTTAAAATCACTGTACACAAGGGAAGGTGAAATAAATGGTTGCCGAAATTGCCACCCGACATAAATTTAACAGTTTAAGTTTCGGTGGCTTGGAGCCCCGTTTTTAGACTGGGCAGTTCATGCATCAACAACTCACTGGTAATTTGGGCACTCATAGTCAAACAGGCAGACTCATGTCTTCCTCTTCACGTCGCCCTCGAGACCCTAATAAAACCACTTGGTGAGGTACACTAATGGAAACTGTCTTTCTAATTATTCTCAAAAATACTTCAAACACCAGCACAAGATGTCCTCGAACGGAGCAGAGTGCGAATGGAGGTCAACGATGAATATACCCTTATCATGTGCTCCAGATGCCCTCACTTATTTATCCAGTTGTTCATTGCTCAAACCAAGCTGCAGCATCGTGACTTCAGCATCAAAGCCTTGATGCTTCTCTCGAATAGTATGAAAACTGAGCACCAAGAGAGTATTATCCGTCGATAATATACTGGTGGTTCGTTTCTGTGTCTGGAAAACTTCAGAGCTCACTTTGGCGAACTGCTACATCCCTTACCTTTCGAATGTCGATGATCTGGGGCGTGAAACGTGTGAACATCTAAAGAGCTTGAGGATCGTACCAAACATCTGCATGTCCGAGTATTCCATAAAAACACGAACACTGCAGCCTTATGTTTAGTTGTTGCTAACAGTTTCTTGCCATTTAGGCAAGTACATCCTTCGGAAGTCGTTTGAGAAGGATGTCACTGCGTTCTGGCTTGAACTGACTTCCAGGCAAAAGTGTATCCTAAAACAGGTTTTCGCGTTCAGTGTAAGCATTTGAGATCTCTATAGTTTCTTCGCTCGAATAGGGGCATGGATCCTCCTGCTGCCTTGTGGTGCATGATGAACCTATCTTGAGTGCAAACGGCTGGCAGATTGTTTCTATTTTAAATGGGAAAAGTTTGCCGCTGGGGCAGATCCAACGCCAGAGAAAGAAGTGGGCCTTTCGTCTGAAGAAACTTCTATACCCTTGCGTACTGCAGCAATCGTGGCCATACCCTCTCACAAGAAGGAGCCCTTAAGCTGACCCAGTCCGGTTTTCCAGTACATGGGCCTCAGCAAGAATTTGCAAAATTCAGGTCTGGGGATTTGCTGGATTTGTACAAGTCTGAGCTTATTTAGCACAATATCAACCGCGGCTTTTAGGAAATTGGGAAATTTTTCGTTTTAAAATGTGTACCAACTCGTAGCTAGATCCAAATGGAGATAAAGCCTGATTTTTGTCAGTGTGCGCGGCGTCTAGAAACCCTCCGAAATCGTCAAGCTTTCGGCTGACACTGATCTAAATCAACTCCAAAAACTGCCTCAGAAAAAGAACTTTACTCTTTAAATTTGCGGGTGAATAGAGTAGCTACCTCAGGGTTTGGTCAACAAAAGCTCATTCATTATTTTTGTTTGCGCGTTTCACGGACCAGCTTAGAACACCTTAAATGGGCCCTAGACATTCCTTTAGGGGTGCAACGAATACTCACGAGGCTTCCGCAGTGAAATTGTTTTTCCGTAAACCATTTATACTCAAGGCGTCATCAGCAATGACGCAAGGTTACTCACAGTGGATTCGCCCAGTTACGTTTGTTCTTTTGGGCAGGTTTTGCATGCCTCAAAACTGGCCGCACCAGTGGACAAATGGGAGTACGGATGCTTGCCAGGGACATCCGGGACTGTCACGACAGTTTATCCACGGTGTGAACACAGTCCAGAACACGTGTCCAGACAGTGAGCTTAAGAAGAGTCTGCGTATCCAGAAAATGCTCAGAAATTTTGTTAGCTGAGTGCAAAAGGTTCATTCGTTTCCTACTGGTCCATTAAAACCCGAAAATGAAGTTGACCATTTATGTACAAATGAGAAGCCTAAAGAAGAAGAGCTGCTTACAGAACGACGTCATAAATTAAGTCCCTTTTTGGACGAGGTGTTCGGGACCGGCGTGATTGGTCATATCCTAGGTCTCCTTAGCATGCTAATTGTCAGCCATCCGTTTATCGGGTGTTCTAATAATGCCGAGGCACCCTGATATACTAACTTAAGAAGGTTATCTGAGCCCTGCAGAACTTCCGTTTACATGGTTCAGTGAATTTAACGCAAAAATATGAATGATTAACCCATTGGTGTTATGACTCCTATTCGCTATTCTGCGCCGACAAACGTTACGGTATCGAGATGGTCGTATTCAGTTGTTTTTGGTAACGAGTTCAAAATGAGCAGGCACCTTGTATCCCGTATGGAGAAAAATGTCAACATGGTTTAGTTATAGTGTATTGTCTAAAGAAGCGTATGCCCCTCAAAACTTTCTCAGCACCAACAGTAATCTAAAGCTCATTTACCTTACTTATATGGTTGCCTCGTTACGACCGTATTCAAACGTGCCGCACATGCTCTATTTTACGTCATTAGGGCTGTTGCCCGATGTGTGTTATGGAAAAAACGCTAATGGCGAAACTGTAAAAACGCAAACATTTCCGTCAATCACGGATTCATGGATTCATACACGGGATCAAGGCTTCCCTGGGTGGGTTTGTTTTTGTCGTTTAGCGGCGTCCGTACAACCGAAAAGTACGAGCAAAAATAATTCTTTTTACGAGAAAGCAAGCTCGCCGGCGCAAGGGCTTACATAGAAATGCTTCTAAAAGTGCTTTAAACGGTGCACTAAACGTACGGCGGGCAACCGTCGGAGGAACGTTATTTCACTCACTACCCGAAAAAGGGAATTTGCGCCTATTAAATGTGCGCGCTCTGAGACTGAAAACCTTCTCAACCTATACCCATCGCGTCTTATTTGGGTCGACGGTGAAGTACCCGTTGGCAGCATCCTGTTCAAACAGAACAATAATATTTAGTCTCGTCGGAGGCGCCAATATTCCAGCGGAAATAGGTAAAGCACGGCGAGATGCGTTTCATAGTCTGCGGATTTGAGGCCAACAGCCAATTTTGTCGGATTCACGGATTGATACACAGGATCGAGGCTTTTGCCCAAGTTTTCCGGGTCGGTTTTGTTCTTGTCGGTCAGTGGCTGTCGTTCACCTGGAAGGCACAAGTGAAAAACGGGTGTAGCACTGCTCTTTATGTTCTCAGCGCGGGGTAGTATGCTTGCCAGCGCGAGGATTCGCATAAATAAATGTCTATTAGTGCTTTAAACTGGGTTCTGGAAGGAGCGTGGACAACCGTCGGAGGAGGGTCATTCCACGCAGCTACTGCCCGAAATGAGAACAAAGTTTGTCCAACGAATTGGTGCTCTGAGCTTGAAAATTTTCTCACTATGCCTCCGTCGTGTGTTTGCTGTGTCAACGGTGAAAACCTGTTTGCTAAGCTTTGTTCCAACAGGGCATAAGTAAGAATTACGTCCCCTTGGAGGCGGCGGTACTCCAGGGGAAAGAGATCAAGCATCGCGAGACGCGTTTCGTAGTCCACGGATTTGAGGCCGGCAACCATTCTAGTGGCGGCCCGCTGGACACGCTCAATGAGGGTGACGTCTTTCGTGCGTCCTGAGTAGACAACTTATTTGGCGTACTCCAGGAACGGATACCCAAAATGGAGATCAAGCCTTTCTTACGTCCTGAGTAAGCAGCTTTGTTGGCATAGTCAAGAGGCAGTTTAAACATAGGCCCCACAGATTATCTGAAAGTCCCCGCAAGTAATATGGTGGAAGGGGCGCACAGTCATCCGCAGAACAGCAAATGCTATTGAGCCGACTTTTCACGTTGCAGTAAGAGGAACATGTTGGGGGAAGCCAGATATCTAAATCATTTTGGTAGTTTGTTTTTCTTTATTCCACCGTGCGCGACAAATACTGCCGAGCTTACTCCGAATGATATATGGACGCACTTTTCGTCCTTCGTGGAAGGTACCAGTTCAGGGGCCACCAACTTGCGGTGACTACATCCATTTGGAAGGCGTTATCATGGAAAGTTATATATGGACTTTTCGTCCTTCGTGGAAGGTACCAGTTCAGGGGCCACCAACTTGCGGTGACTACATCCATTTGGAAGGCGTTATCATGGAAAGTTCAATGATAGTCCAATTCGTTCTCGAGAAGTAGACATGGACTTAAAAGAAGATCTGGAAGTACGTTGAGGCAGATCGGAAACAGAAGGGGCCCCAACTCAAAGCCTTAAGAATATCTAACTGAGGCCTGTACCAAAAATAGGCAGGTCGAGCCTGCTCTCACTTGGACTCTTTCATCTGACAGGAGCACCCTAATTCAGCGTCCAAGTTTCCTCTGAATCTCATAAGACTCGAGATTGTGGAGAAGCGAGACGTGTGGGACTCGATCGAATGTCTTCTAGAAAACGAGAAATATAACATCAGAAATGAGTCCTTCCTAACGCAAAAGTGGTCTGAAAAAAATCCATACCACTGGGGATATCAAGTTTTGGCGCTCAAGTGATTTCAGATTGATCGCTTTGTCGCGCGGAAGTTTTTGGTGCTCAAGTGATTTCAGATTGATCGCTTTGTCGCGCGGCACGCTAGTTAGGCTAATAGACCGTAACCTGTTTCAAACGAGAGCACCTCTTTGTGCTGTAAAACGCTTCATCGTCTCAGTGAACGGGTCAGAAAATAATGAACAGACCGTTTGGTGATGCCCTTCCCTCATGCAAACAAAAAGTTATATCCTTTCTCGTTCGTCCTTCTATCAATAACTGTCATCGGTTCAAAATTTTCACACCGCACTATCTTGAAAGGATGCCAGAATTGCTGAATTCTGTCGACGTGTAGTGGTACCACAATTTGTCGTGTGTAGTAAGGTTCCTTTGACACGTTCAGCAGCCTAAACGTACTACCTAGCCATCGATATCCCTTGAAAGATCCATTATCTTTGGCGCCGTTCGGAAAAGGTATATCATAGTCCAGAATACCCATTCAGCACATAGGCATTCCGAGCTATCAGCTCGGTGATGTTACGCTTCGGGCACGGTATAAATGGGTGTTCAGTGGTATGTGGACACATAATTTATCTAACCTCCCTCCCACACATTGCAAGTCGTACATCACTATCGGAAATAGGCATACTAGGTTGTGATACGTGTAGTTCTTTTATCGATCATACCCGTGCATTATAATTTTCGCATAGTATTTCAGATACGGTTTTGTGAGCCACATGAATGATACCACGCTCAACTTGCCGCGCTTATGTCAGTTTCAATCCTCTAATATTCAGTGAAGATTCGATCGGGCCAATCGCCATTATTCTCGGGTATGTTGTGAGCCTTGTCAACAATACCGCAGATTTTAGAAGTTTAGGCTTTCCCATTGGAAGACACAATCCAATTGGTTTCGTGGCAAAGGTAGTCACGTCAAACAACGAGCAATTCGTTTTCAATTCCGATATTTTCTCGTATGAAATTCGGTTCGTAGGGTGACCGCCGAGCCTCAAACGATTTAAAAATGATAGCCCCTTAAATCGGTAACGGAGTGCAACCAAAGAGCTCACTCTTCTAGAAGCTGAATTTCCCGAAGTATTCTCGCTCGTGATGTGACGCCGATTGCTCAGTGACAGTAACTGACGAATCTTAAATATTCTGTTTGCTACAAACGTACTATAGCGGGTGGCACCATTCCGTACATAGTGAAGAACGATGTTTGAGTCAATCCAATAAGTTGAACTTTTGAACAAATTTCTGACTCTCCCCTCTGTCCTTCCACCACGTTTGCGACTATTCGCGCGGCATTCAACTCAATCCTCCAAATGGACAGTGACGTCATCATCGTTCATACTCACGTGGTGTACTTGCCTCCTTACCCCATGTCCCACAAACAACGAGCCATGTAGAACCCATCCAAAAGATGTCCTTCCCATCTACTCCATAGGCCAATATGTCTCTAGAACGTCCTCCACTATCGGTATTCCCACACGTTTATCTGCAAGCTGCACAAAGGTAGTGTCCTTCAAGTGACCTTATTGACTACCTGTATTTGGTGGGCCCATGACCAACAGGCTAATGGTTAGAGGACCTCTTAGGGCCCGTTTGGCCACTACGGCTTCATCTGAACCCACCAATTGAAGCGCGATTCCGAGACTTTCAGTATCAACAGTAGCGTTTCTACTCACTGTTGATAAAATCAAAATTGCCGATGTGCTGGTCAGACCAACTTCATCAAGCAGACCTTTCGCTACGAATGTTACGTCCGGCCCACTATCCAACAATGCGTACGTGAGGACGCTGACATACGGACCATTAACACGAACCGGTACAACGCCAAGGAAGTTTCCTGGTTCCAATTGAGACGTCGGGTTGCATAAATCAACCGATATTTTTTTGCTGGCATTCGGTAATACATGTAATAGAGGGTAGTGAGCAGCGTTCTACTCCACACCCCTGAGGGGAATCGAATTTGCTACTGGCATGGCCTGGTCATAGGCACAAGACGTAACCGTTTCCTTTTCATCACATGCCAGTTGGCTTGCGTTTAAAAATAAGCGGACCCATCGCAATAAGCCAACCCGTGTCGGTTGTCCTAATGGGGGTACAAACCTTGATTTTCCCTTTCTAATGGTGGATATGTTATCACGCCTTCCGTTGCCTACCTGATGTTGCTCGGTTTGAAAAGAATGCCGTTCCGTTGAGCTCATGGCGGCCATACAATGGCAGCTTCTGGCGGCGCTGGCTTCTTGATAGACAAAAATGCACCAGTCGGAGAATCCCATATGTTTTCCGAGGCTTTCCGTAGTGACAGCCGACCGCGCCTCGTTCCAACGAGAATGTCTGCATAAAGTGAGGAGAATTCGCCCTGTGGTCGAGATGGAATTCATGCCACTGGTGTGATCCATCTGACTTGGGTCTATGTGACAGCTTTGACGATTTGCCGATAAACGAGACAATGGTTCTGCGTCACCGTACAGAGGCTCAACTTCCTGAACAGATCTAGTATAGCTCTGGTCACCATAGGTTTCTTCCCAAGGACATCTTTAAGTATTTCTCTGGCTTTGCCGTAAGCAATCACCAGAGGCAATATTACGCAGCCGGTCATAGCTTACTTCAATGGACCCCTACAGTAGTGGACCGAATATAGCATCCTTTGCCCGTTATCTTGTACTCTACACTCTGTGTAACACTGGGCTGTTGAATAAATCCCTTGTAACACCTGTGGTTGTCAACATATTCCACTGAGTCCACTCTAGGTAAGTCTGAGTTAACCGCACAAAAAGTCGGTTGTACCACCGGCTTTACACTGCTTCTTCTAATCCCGGCTTGATAATCCTTCCCTTAAGCATGAATATCAATGTAGTAGCTGCTTCGGTGTGTCAGAGAGTTTGCGCGTGTGCGTGTCCGTTCGTCGTTCCAACATCGATCTGATATGTGACGTGAGTGGCTGATTGGATGTGTCCGATTGGTTGGCTCGTGTGAGCGCTGTGGGTTGACTGGATATGTGACTCAGTTGTTTTTGCTTGCCTGCCACGAAAGCGGACCAGTTTGGCCGCGTGTACCCAATACACCCGTGTCCGTACTTACGTGTTCTTCTGACTTACTGTGAACTACAATACTGGCGAGGGTCTCACGAACCCATCTTACCAAATGTCTATCGGAAAGCTAGAAGAATTTACTGCTACTGGAGGTTCCTGGAACCAATATGTGGAACGGGTGAATTGTTACTTTCTTGCTAACGAGATCACCGACGACAAGCGGAAAGTGAACATACTTCTTACGATTTGTGGTTCGGCGACATACAGTTTGATACGCAGCTTGGTCTCTCCTGATTTACCAAATACGAAAACTTTTGACGAGCTTGTGTTTATCGTTTCCAAGCATTACAATCCTAAACCTTCTGTTATCGCTCAGAGATTCAAGTTCAATACAAGGGTACAAAAGGAAGGAGAATCCATTGCGGATTTCGTAGCGGAATTACGGAGTCTTACGGAGCACTGTGACTACGGAGATTTTCGGAACGATATGCTCAGAGATCGATTGGTAGTTGGTGTGAGAAACGCCCGCATACAACAGTGTTTACTTGCTGACAGTAACTTAACTTTGGAAACGGCTTACGATACTGCGGTGGCATTGGAAGCAGCAGAAAATAACGCAACCTTGTTACAATCTGTGCAACCTACCGTGACATCAGAGTCGGTGGATTCATCGTATCAGGTGAATCGATTACAGCAACCGTCGAACAGAACACAGTTTAAGTGTTATCGTTGTGGAGGCCGTCACAATCATCCGAAGGATTGCCGGCACACACAAACTGTTTGCAATCGCTGTAAGAAACGAGGCCACCTCGCGAAAGTGTGCCGCTCAGCACCAGCGTTCGATACTAGCGCTGCTGTTACAAATCAAGTTACAAGGTCGGAAATCCCAGAATACGTCCTTCATGCAGCCGCTCCCACCAACCGCGTTCAACCGCCGTATCAAGTAGAACTACAGGTGAACAGTGCGCCAATGGTTTTCGAGCTGGATACGGGTAGTGCCGTAACACTATGCAGTGAAAAGTCATGGCAAGACAACCTGGGACCGACCGTGAAAGGTAACCTTCAGCAAGCCCCAGTCCGGCTTCGAACATATACAGGAGAAGAGGTGAAGTTGCTGGGGACGAAAAATGTGAATGTTTCATATAAGGGTGTGACGGTGAACGAAACCATATATATTGCTGAAGGAAGTGGTCCAAACCTGTTGGGACGTGATTGGCTTCAACAACTACCCATACTTACGTTAAACCAGGTCTCGACACTCCCGGAGGTTCAATCTCTTATCCGCAATTATGAAGAAGTATTTTCTGAGCCGAATACTGGCAAGTTCTCCGGGGGAAAGGTGAATATATACGTTCCGCCTGGAACACAACCGCGATTCCTGAAGGCTCGGTCATTGCCCTACTTGATGCGTCCAAAGGTTGAAGAAGAACTTAACCGTTTGCAACGGGAAGGAATAATTCAAAGCACGGAGTTCTCGGAGTGGGCCACACCAATCGTGCCAATACTGAAACCGGACGGCACAGTTAGAATTTGCGGTGACTATAAAACCACGGTCAATGCCAGCACACCCCCAGAACATTACCCGTTACCTAAAATCGAAGATGTCTATGCACAAATCGGTAAGAGCAAATATTTTTCAAAACTAGACCTAGCTCATGCTTATGAGCAATTGGAATTAACGGAGGAGGCGAAACCTGTTACAACCATCAGTACTCATAGAGGTCTGTTTATGTTTAATCGCCTTCCTTTTGGAATCCATTCCGCTCCATCCATATTTCAACGCACAATTGAAAATGTTATCGCGGGGATACCTAAAACGTTCGTCTATCTAGACGATATTCTGATAACCGGGTGTACCATTGAGGAGCATTTAAAGTTGCTGAAACTGGTACTCGATCGTTTGAAGGAGTGTGGACTACGAATAAAGAAAGAGAAGTGTGACTTCCTGGTAGATCATGTGGACTATTTGGGTTTCCGCATCAGTGCGGATGGTTTGGCCCCTCTAGCCGAGAAAATACGTCCAATATTAGAGGCACCGCAACCAAGGAATAAACATGAACTAAGATCTTTCTTGGGCATGGTTAATCACTATGCGAGGTTTATCCCGCAAGCTGCCACACTTTTTCACCCACTGAATTACTTGCTACGTCAGGGAGTCAGCTGGATTTGGAATCAAGAACAAGAGAAGGCGTTTCAACAGGCGAAACGTGCCCTTACGAATCCTCCGGTGCTTACTCATTTCGATTCAACACAGCCCATTGTTCTCGCTTGTGATGCTTCACCATATGGTGTTGGAGCTGTGTTATCGCAGAAGGATAAATCGGGAATCCTCAAACCAGTTGCTTACGCTTCACGATCTTTGTCGCCTTCTGAGAGGAATTACGCACAAATTGATAAGGAGGCATTGGCGATTCTGTTCGGAGTAACGCGCTTTCAGCACTACCTTTTCGGACAAACG